AAAGTCAAAATTTAAGATTGGAAATTCTGTTAGTGGTTTAGTACAATAGCTATAACTTTCTCTAGTTAAAATTAATCTCAATTAAATATTTTCAAGATAAAATTTGTCTATTATTCATTCATTAAATAAATTTTTACATCGGTCAAAGCAATAAATTTTAAATTTATGATTGGTATTAACACGTGAGATTGCATATTGTATGTGACATATTGAATCGTTTAGAGAATTAATATGAAAGATGAAAAAGTAGGGATTGAGAAAACTTCATATAAGATGATAAAGAATATGCATTGAATTTTTTTTTTGTGATGTAGAGTGGTCTAAAGCCAAGTGCTTGTGCTTTATGGAGCAAAATTATGTACCTGCTACAAAGTCTTGAGAAGTGAAAGTATTGGAGAAAATCATATTTTATCAAAGAGAATAATATGCTAAATTTAGAAAGTCACTAAACAAATTATATTAATTGTACAATTTCTTCCATAGCGGGGATAGCTCAGTTGGGAGAGCGTCAGACTGAAGATCTGAAGGTCGCGTGTTCGATCCACGCTCACCGCACAGACGTCCAAAATTTTGAGAAAATATCAAAGTTCGATGGAATATTCAAACAAAAAGCTGATTTTGGTGTAATAATTATACATGCAATCACTAATTAATCTAAATAAGGTTATAATCATAGATTTAAAATATAATAAAATTTACATTATTTGTTTAACCAGTAAAAACTAGCTTATATTTAATAAGCCTATTATTGCTTAATCTTGTGCTCACAAGATAAAGTTTGATATAAAAGTTTTTAAAGCAATGTGATCATCACAAAAAGTCTTATATGTCATATATTATTAGACACACATTTATCAAAATGATTAATTTTAGTTTTGAAATGATTTTTAAGCTATCACCAACATTATGATTTTCGAATTGAAAGTCTTCCTCAGTATTTTTAACTTGCTTAACGTTAAAACTGTTCCGCTTCTTCATTTACACTATAAGTTCATCCGCACATAAAATACTTTGAAAAGGAAAAAGGAAAGAAGATAACCAAGTAAATGCTTTAACGTGATAAAAGCACTATAGTGCACATTCATATCACTTAAAAATCTCTTGATGATTTGGACAAGGTGCAAGAGAGATAACTTTCATCAGATCATTCAAAACTAGCCTTTAAAATCTGATTTCACTGTCTGTGTTCAACTTTGCAAATTTTCACTCCTCAACTGAAATGTTAAGGCGATTTTGAATTGATGTCGGCAAAGTTATTTAAGACTTTTCACAAATACTTCATAAGTATGATGCAACTAAGAAGTCAGAGTAAAACATTATATGACAAAGTGGTCTAATGGTTAGCGTAATTCTTTAGTGCAATAGATCAATCAACACATACCACTAACTTCATTGTAGTCTCAGTTTACATCTGTAAGTGATGCAAAAAAAATGGAAATCTTCATAAAGTCAGAGGACCTTTAGTACCCCAATGCCCAAATATTTTATTCGGCCGCAAAGCGAACCAAGTGCGAAAGCGAGAGAAGAAAACAAGTTTTCTTCTCGGCCCAGTGAAGCGCTGGCAACAACAGAAGGAAAGGGGTCTATGCAGTACCTGCTGTGCGAATTATGATCCCGCTGTTCTACCCAACTACACTAGAGTATTCATTTTTCTTCCAAAAAAAGTCTTGAAATTTCTCATTTCAAACATAATTTCACCTTTAAATATAATCTGGAACTGTGCATCGAAAATGAGAAAAATTAGATTAAAAAATTGGGTGGCTAGCAGAGTACTGCAATGGGTACCCAATGCCCATCCATACCCATGAGTAAATGGGTGGGTAATGGGTATGGGCTAAGATGCATGGGTGGGTACAAGGAACGGGTGGGTATTGGGTACCCATGTGTATGTATATCCATTGCAGAACTATTTCCTAACACTTCTTGAAGTGTTTAGAAAGATTTTCAACTAGAATAAGACTGCCTGTTTTATATTTCAAAGTCCGAAGGTCCAGATAGGAGGTAGAGGCTTTTGCATACTCAAGATGACGAATTATAGTTTCAAGATCCGTATAAGCAACGAATTCTAGGAATCGCCCGACAAATGGAGTCAATCAGCAGTTCTACTCGAAAATCATGAAACATTCTATTTGGACAATGGCAATGTCACAAGGTTGTAAAGTGACACCATGTGATCGTGGATCACCTTCAGCCGGTCCTGAGCAATGTGGTGGACGAGGATGGCAATGTGACGACAGCCAAAGATTCTGACTCGATCAAGTCAATCAAGGGCATCATGCTTCCGCTCTTCTATAGCAAGTTCGTCCTTGATGATATCCATGTCATGGCATCGTTGCTAAATCCGATCATGAAGTCTTGTCTTGTGTGTCTTGGTGTTGAGTGCAACCAGATCGAGTAGGCCAAGGATAAGCTCAAGGATGCGATGATCAATTACGCATCCTTGAACGGTGAAAAAGAAGACATTTCGATTGTTCGATCACCAGTTAGGAAGAAGTTATGCTCATCTGTTTTGATGTAAGATCAGATGCTCGACAACGACGATGAGGAAGACAATGTCCCTCCAGTTGAAGGTCCCGCCGCCCTCAACGCAAGAGTCAATGACAAGTACGAAACGTTCATGAAGTACAAAGTCACTAATGGTGAGTTGATGCAATGCATTGATGATGACGTTAGCGGTGAGTTTCACTTTTTGTCGTGATGGAGAAGCAAGGGCAAGGACCTGTTCCCGATATTAGTGCGAGTCATGCGGTTCACCCTTTGCATCCCGACATCTAGCGCCATATCCGAGAACAACTTCTCGGACGGCAATAACACCTTGACCAAGAAGCGCAATCAATTAAAATTTTGAACGATAAACAATCTCATGTTCCTGCGTTCAAATCTTGACATTTGTATGTAACTATTCAAATTTATCATTTGCGCGTCATTCTTTTTAAAAACACTTCAAGTGCTCTTAAGTAACTTTATTTTGGTGATGGATTCATGGATAATGGGTGGGTAATGGGTATGAAATAGTTGCCATGGGTGGGTACACTTGATCCACTCATGGGTATGGGTAAAGTTATGAAGCTCAATGCAAGACTCTGATGGCTAGTCTATTTGATTATCTAGAAATTTTAAAAACATGTTCTCTGAAGGATGTATGTAATTATCACAATGCAAAAAGAATCTCCTCACTAGTCGGAGGTATAATCAGAAAATGAAGGGCTTGTGCAATCCAACCAGCTTCAGTTTGAATCTCAGGCAATGTGATCCTTAAAGATTACTGATACAATGTGGAAAAATTGCTTACAGATCTTTTAGAACTATCAAGATGTAAGTGAAAGCACGTGTAGTCTCTTCATGAAACAAGGTTAAAAGTCCATATTATCACAAAGTGCAAAATTTGGTACGATTTGGTAGTTGTCATTTCTATAACTTGATTTGTATACCTTGTCTTCAGTAATCAATGTGATTGATATGCCTTCAACCATCTGTGACCGACTTATGGGTTGTGATAATCAAACGCAACAAATGTGAATGTGGTAATTCTCCTCACCTGTACAATCCCTATTAATCCAATCACAAACTTTGTGCATTTTTTCATATGAACATTTATCCTTTATAAGGTAAATAAATTATCAGAGATAAGAGATATTGTATCACAAAGTATCATCACTCATATTAGGAGAAATAAAGATATTACAATAAACAATAAGAAATCATCATATGTCATCATTTATCACTTGCAAAATATCAATGATTTGGCATCCCCAAATGACATCTCAAAATGCTCAGTATAAAATTACTAACATTTGAAAGTGCTCATGAGTTGCTTTGGGGATCACTATTATTCTTCAACTGGGATAAGCGTTAGTGTACATCTCATTTGCTTTTTCGCCTTCATTGTTGACATACCTTTCGAGTGCGATGGGAATCAGATTCTTCTCCCTGTTTTACGATCTGCTGCGGTCTCGTCGAAAAAACAAATGAGTTATACAGTTTTATGTACAATGGCACATACCACCAAAAAACTTTCAATTCGTGGCTAAATCTGTAAATAGAGACTAGCACTTACTTTCTTGTCATCTTCCGGTAAAATACGTTCAAATGCAACATGATAAGTAGCTTCCCAAGCAGTGTTATTTTTTTGGTTGTTCGATCACAATGGATGGGGTAAGACTACAACATAAGTCATGCAAATCTTTTATGTAAAAAGTTCCATTCATTCATTCCACTTTTCTCCATGGAAACGATATCACTGAATTCTGATTTGGAAATCAGAAAGGGTACATGCAGTCCAGCTGTTTCGATACCTCTAATAGAAGACTTGGTATATGTTCCATATCTTGGCGTAAGAATTGGTGAAGGTTTTCTTAGAAGCAGATCTTAAAGAAAGTACTGAGCTATTCACAAGGTGTGAACTCTGTACAATAAAAACAAATTCCTGTATAGACTATGCCTATCAGGCAGCTGTAGCCTCTAGCCTTGGAGCACCAATCAAATTGAATCTGTGAGGTTAAAGGCGCATAGATGCTCAGGTGGGTCCGTCCTGATGGGAGATCAGAGGACCTGAATATATCATATGCTAGGCATGCTTTCATCTTAGAGGTTTGAGCGACTGTTCAAGTCTTGAAGGCCGAAAACACTTTGAGTATCGTTATACTGGTCAATGTCCATTTGCACATAGGTTCAGTGTGCATTACAGTAGTTTCTGGAGTACATTATATGCAGCAATACTATTGCGTCCATAAAGGTTTCGTTTGCAGTCCTGTAAACAACGAAAAAGGCGAGATGTTTATGTCATAGATTTGTACAATACTTCAGAATTTGTGCCCGTTCAAATCATCGATTATCATTTTTTAAGGCCTTTGAAGTACAACGACTAAAACACACGGCCTGGCCTTCATTTGTAGGTTAAAATTTTCTGACAAGAGTGACGGAAGCTTGACGTAATTTTGTCAAACACTGCGAGACTGTACACTCGTTTGAGTAGAGGCAAAAGGACAGATCAGCGAGAGGTTAGTCTACGAGTACAACACCACACAACAGATGACCGCGGTCGGGTGGGCAGCGTTGCAATACGCAATGACGAATCATATCGTAAGAGCAATGCAGTGTAAACTGCTTGAAGGTTATGGGAATATAGTTGTGACAAGTAGACCGCAATTGCATCTTTGCCAAAATTCCGTTACCTTTAATCTGGTCTTCGTGGCGTCTCTGAAACCCCTTCGTGCTAGAGGATCAGAATTTTTTTAGAAAGGACGCTGAACAATATAGGTCTTGATCCAGCGACCACGTCGAAATTCTGAGAGAGGTAATGGAAGATTGGAACGAGTCTCCAGATCTCTCGACTGCTGCTGTGACGATTTCTCGAGGCCGGGATGCTGATGAGCGGCCATATCTCCGATCTGACCGGCACAGGTCTGCAGACGTTCACTTTGCAGCTGCGGGTGCGGGTTCATCTGATGGCGGCCATGAAGCACTGGCGGGCAACCCAGCGGCTGGGACCGATCACCACACCAAATCGGAAGACCCCCAGCTCCTGTTTCACGCGGCGTCCGCAGGGCAGGATGAGATGGTGAGATACTTACTGACAAGTGCCAGCGTCAATGTCGATGTGAAGGACGAAAACGGGAATACGGCATTGATGATTGCAGCTGAGGAAGGCCACACTTCTACTATGCAGATTTTGTTAGAGCACGGGGCGGATTTCAAAACCTTCAACCACAAAGGATTCAACTGTGTGCACGAGGCCTCGGACAAGGGAGCCTCCGGAGTGTTGAAGCTGCTGTTTCAGGAGGATGGGGACGACGGCTACCTCGACGGAAGATCAGTGCCCGCGGGCCCTCTCTCAGTCCAGCAGGTGCTGCTACGGGAACCTACAAAATACAGCATGCGCCTGCAGCTGATGGAGATGAGGAGCGTGGATGACAGTTTCACTCCCCTGCATTTGGCTGCCAAAGGCAAACACATTCAGACTGTGGTGCAGCTGCTGAAGTCTTACATCGTGGTGGCTCTGAAAATGCGAGGGTTCAGTCGACATCCTCGCCCCACCTGCATGAAAGAATTTTTGGACCTCGTAAGAAAATCACAGAGCGATCGCAGCAGTTTAATCCTCAGAGAGCTCAAGGGTGGCGACCACAGTCCTGCGAAAGAAGATCAGTACGCCAGAATTCGCGACCAGCTGCTATCATACTGCAACGAGAAATCAGATCAGAAAGAATGGAAGGACAGCTTTCTGGCGAGCACGACAGGGCAGTCGTACTCGAAAGTCGCCGACGAATTCGTGGACGCTTACGTGAGTTTCCTGGTCTACACGAATGAGACGGATTACAGGCGTCGAGCCTTCCTGCATTACATTGCTGAGAACCTCACGGACCCGACCTCGTACTCTTGTGCCAATGTGGAGTCCTGTCCCATCAAGAGCATTCTCGACTTCCCCACAGTGGATGTCAACGTACTGGATGTGAACAACGAAACACCATTGCATTTAATTTCACGGCAAGGGTTTCTGTGCATGCTCAGGCACGTCTTCGAGTCCGGAAGAACTCCCGACCTGCTGGCCCGTAATTCTGATGGCGAGTCTCCTGGTAAAATCCTCTGGAATGAATGCCGCGAGCACATCTCCGCCCCGCTGCCTGAGGAGAGAGACGAGGAGGAGGGCGGGGAGGGCAATGTCGGATGCGCGAGCGGAGACAGCGTGTGCCGGCACTGCGCCTCGTTGTCTTTCCTCGAGAACAATCTGTTCAAGAAGTTTTTGGAGGACAAGGACCCTGATTGCATGCAGACGGTGGCGGATTTCTTGCTGTACCTGCGAGAGGTTCTGGAGAAGCGCAAAGTCGTGGAAGAAGAAGCGAAACAGCACCGAGACCGATTCAAGGAGGACGGCCACTCCAAGGGTCTCACCCCATTGCACTACTTGGCCTACAGAAAGCATGTGGAGCCGATCAAAGGCCTGCTCAGGGATTCGAAATTCCGACGTCTGATCAACAGGCAGTACAACTGCGACGGCCAGACAGCGCTCCATTTCGCTGTCAGTGGCAGGAGGATCGAGGTCGTCGAGGCCCTGCTCGGGAGTAAGTCCGTGCTCAGAAATGTGGAGGATAAGAGATTTCGGACGCCGTGTGAGCTTTTGTCGGAGATTGTCAGGACCAGCTACTCATCGACGGTCAAGGATACGGAGGCTCTGCTGCTGAAGGACGAGGACGTGAAGGCTTTCATGGAGAAGCAGTACCGGGATCGACAGGTTCATGTCGATGCAGGGAACACGGCTTTGGTGGGCGCTGCGCTGATCGCCAGTGTGACGTTTGCAGGATGGCTGCAGCCTCCTCTAGGGTACATAGAGTATAATCAGTTCGACAAGGAGCAATTCGCGGCCGTGGAGGCGCACGCGAGCGTTCAGCTGTTTTGGTTGTTCAACAGCTTGTCGTTTTTCTCCGCCATAGCCACGGTGGTGAGTGGGGCGAGGGCCGTGTTACCAGCGCCCCACAGTCAATTCATCGCCAAGGAGGTGCGACACATGAGGAGGTGGCTCGTGCTGACATCGTTCCTGCTGGTTGTATCGATCGTCTGTGTGCTGGGAGCCTTCACAGCGGCTGGCTATGGCACACTGCCACCCATCTCTAGATATCAGACTCTGATGACCGTCACGACCGTCATCGGCGGAATTATGTGTGTAGTAGTGTTGAGTATCTATTTTCTCCGTCTGATCGACATCTTCAATCGAGATAGCAGAAGATTCTGGTCGACTTTCGCCAGAAGATCTGCGAATCACGTAAAGGGGCCAAAACTTGCGTGATCGTGGAAACGATCCGATTAATTGCTTCAAATTTCGCGTTACTTTGTACGCGTCGGTGATGAAAAGGAAGTATCAAGTTGTAACTTTTTTATGTGTATGTGATTGATATTTTGCCATATCGTAGACTTTCTCGTGCGGCCAGAAGAAAAAACTCCATTCATTATCTTTCACATCGTTCCTTGAAGGTGCGAACGGACACTCTTCCTCGTTCAGCTGAGCACGTTAGTCCTGCCCAAATGACAGGTGGTCGAATAAATGTCCCAACCCCGACCAGTGTCGAACAAGAAGAAAAGATGAATGGTAAAGAGTCCACTTTTACGGGACAGTTCATGTAAACACATGGCGTGACCGAATTCTCCTTCGTGGGAGACAGAACCAACACCTTAGAAACAGTCTCACGAAACTTTATTGTGGACTCGATGGAAGTTGGAACAAGATCAAACCAGACGCAAAACTAGTGCTAGAAGTCAATAGGTTGTTGTAACAGCGCACAGAGCGACAAAAGCAGATGGGTTTTTGGAGTAGGTCTGCGGAAAGGCCACAATTCAGCATATGAACAGCTTTGTCTGGTTGGTCCGGATCCAGGAGCATGTGTGTGACTGTGTATTGGCGGGCGATGGCATAAAAAAATATCATAAGATGCGAGTTGGTTCCATGTTTTGTCAGGCGGGTATATTCTGGGATCACCGTACTTCTCAGAGGTCGCCAGAAGAGGAGGAGACGTAGAGTCTTAGGGCGAGAGCAGTGGGCCATCTCGATTACAGAGTATTGCGTACGACTGTACATGTCAGTGGGCTGTGTGTACAAGGTACATCTAAGATTGGAATGAAGCGTAGGAGGAATGAGTAGCGAGGGAGGGCAGATCGAGCTCCAAACACGATGAGCGGAGAAACATTTCATGGTTAGCGTTCAGTCAGATCCTTGAAATAGATTCTGAGGCTGAACTGGCTATGGTACAAGTGAAGTAGCAAGTCCTGTTGTGAGATTTTGTCTTGTCCCGTTTATGTCTTGTTTTCCAGGAAACATGTTCCAACAGTTATCGAAGGAGTCTTCGAGAAAGTGGTTCAAAAGCAACTCCATCCATACGCATTCACCGTCATCACTTACGGTCCTTGTTGCTGGGCCTACTGTAATCTCGAAAGCTCATCTCCACAGGCTGGATACTGCTGCAGCCCAGGCCCAGGCTGCATGCTTTGCGAAGGATTCTGCAAAGTTTGGACAAGCGTAAATTTAGCGCCTGCGTTTCACTTTCGAAAGTCTGAATAATTCGACGGTGGAGCGCTCCTCTGATCCTCCTCCTACCACAAAGCGACAGGTACGCCGGGCTCAACTTATGGCCCTCTAAGGAAATTGATTCTTTAATGAGGTGTAAAGACGACACCACGGGCCAGAATCCGTTGACATATTTCACAAATAAGAAAGCTCACAGAGGAAGTACATTGCCTCACTAATCCTCTTACGTAAGCCATGGAGTGGTCTCAGAGAGGCTCGAAAAAGAAAATTTGACGATCTTCGAAAATTCGACGATCCCTTATTCTCTTCCGGCATGGAGAGTTGTTAAGCAATCAATCGAGGCCACTAAAGTGTCAGACTAGTATGATAGATTAGGTGAGGTGGAGAGTAGTTTTTTGGACATTGTTAGGTTATATTTACTGGAAATTAATTTAATTATAATCGTTTTCAATTAAGGTTACATTTTATGTACAATAAACTCTATGGAAAATGATTCATAAGAACCAATTTATTACGTCTATAGTCTTTTTAGGGCCTCTTGGAAGGTGATGGAGATAAGATCAGAAAGATTTATCGGCGTGGCTAGAACTTCACTACCTCCAATAAGCCGTACATTGGAGTCAACTTTCCCATCTTGCAAGGCCAGCGCACGAAGGCAAGTTCATTGGTGGACAACCTTCCCAATTGACTGCATCCCCTAGGGGAAAGCTCTTCGGTGCGGTGAACATTATAGTGCCCAAAATATCGACCAGACCCCTTTGTGCTGTATCTCGAGTGCTCTGACTCTACTCTCCAAGTGGCAAGGTAACTTTGCCCCTGCTACTCGTGTTGTATTTTCTGTGTATACCTCGTAGATCTCCAAGTCACTGTTGTGGCAGTAGCCATGACAATTGTGGAGGAATTTTGATGATTTAGATATACTCTTAGGACAATATTAGGATATTGAGACAATAAGAATCCTCTCGAAGCATTACTTTGCGTGTTATCTATGTTGGCATCAGGGAGCATTAATCACGGTTTGTCGGGAATATGTGGACGCTATATGATAGTGAAACGCCTCCTCTGAACGCCCCTTGTGAAGCGCAGGCAGTTGAGTCACCCAAGACGGAGTGCAGAAATTCTAACATTCAAATGGTTGACTGCTTCAGGGACGGAAGCGAGAAGATTTTGTGTTGCGAGAGCTAATGCAGCATGCTCAGTCAGAATCCAATGATTAATTGATCGGTACAGCCGGACCTCTCGTGGACTATGGTCTTCCTGTGAACTGGAGGCGTGCTGCTCGCTGTACGAAGCTCGGTGGTATCTCGGTGCCAATTCGAAGAGGAGTTTCGAGGCTGTAAATCAATGAGGAAAGAGACTGATGCGAAGGGCACTGCAGAAGAGGGGAACCAGCTGCACTCACGAGCGAATGGAGAAAGAGTAGAAGATGCTAGCTCTGAATCGTCACAAGATGGGTCTCATTCTGGCCATGGATCGGGCTCTTTGGGAGCAAACAAGGCTCGATTGGAACAGATTTCCGTCGCCCAGCAAGAGCAGGCTAAGTCGAATTCCAAGTACGTGCATAGGTTGCAGGAGCAGATTTACGGTAACTTTTGGAGCGTCCCTCCGATTCGTTGGGCCACGATAACAGCAAACCAAGACATCCTGGAGCGTATCAGAATTCTGAATGTTGTGCAGGAAAAGGGAAGAGAAGACTCACTGTTTGTCGAGCTCCTGCACGGCGTCAACGAAGAAGGAATGAACTGCCTCCATCTCGCGGCGAACAGAGGGCACTGTCTTGAGATGACGCATCTGCTTCAGCACCGGGACCAGCTGTGCAAAAACCTCCTGAGCTTGAAGGATCAACTGCGCAGCACAAGAAATTTCAAATCGCTACAATCGGTGCAACGCGAGTTGAACTTCGAAGAGGTTCTGAAGTTTTTGGTGTCCATTCCAGGCATAGATCTGAACGCCGTCGACAAGAAGGGAAACACACCGCTGATGGTGGCCTCCCATTGCGGCCACGTGAAGGCAGTCGATATTCTGCTCGAAGCATCTGCGAGGATGGACATCTTGAACGAGGAGGGTCTGAACTGTCTGCATGCGGCCGCATCTGCAGGACATACTTCCGTGGTGGAAAGAATTGTGCACAAAGCAGGTCTCCTTGATATGAGATTCTTGAACGTGAAGTCCGGAGGTGATCACGAGTGGACGGCGTTGCACTTCGCCGTGGCAAGCGATCGGATCAACGTGTTGGAGCTGCTGCTGGGATATCCCGACATAGTTGTGGACACGAAGGACAACGAGGGCTGCACGCCACTGCTGCTTGCGACTTCACTGGGCTACGTTCAGGCCGTCAAGATTTTGCTCCGCAAGGGTGCGAACACGCAGATCAAGAACGACAAGGAGTTGAATAGCATGCATGTCGCAGCATCCCAAGGTTACATCGAGGTGCTGAAAGCTCTCAGGGAAATCTCAGCTTCTCCTCCTGCAGCAGAAACATTCATCCCTTCGGCTCCGGTTGCGCGTGTTTCCTTCTCCGTGGACACCTACAACTACGTGCCACAGCAGCACACGGATCATCAAAATTTCGTGAGCCGTCCGACGATTGCAGCAGAATCATACAAAATGTCTCCAGAACCTTCAGCCCCGGTTGCGAGTGGTACCTTCTCCGTGAACACCTACAACTATGTGCCGGAGCTGAACACGGATCATAAAGGTTTCGTTAGCCGTCCGACGATTGCAGCAGAAACATACAAAACGTCTCCAGAATCTTCAGCCATGGTTGCGAGTGGCAACTTCTCCATGGACAATCACAACGATGTACCGGTGCCGCAGACGGATCATAAAATCTTCGTGAGCCGTCCGACGATTGCAGCAGAAACATACAAAACGTCTCCAGAATCTTCAGCCACGGTTGCGAGTGGTACCTTCTCCATGGGCAATTACAACGATGTACCGGTGCCTCAGACGGATCATAAATTCATGTTGAGCCGCTTGAAGATTGCAGCAGAAACATACAAAACGTCTCCAGAATCTGCAGCCGCGGTGGCGAGTGGTTCCTTCTCGGTGGAAAGTTACAACAATGTACCGGTGCCACAGACGGAACGTAAATATTTTGTGAGCCGTCCGTCGATTGCAGCAGAAACATACAGAACGTCTCCAGAACCTTCAGCCTCGGTTGCGAGTCGTGCCTGCCCCGTGGACACCTTCAACAATGTGCCGGTGCCGCAGACTGATCACAGGAATTTCGTAAGCCGTCCGACGATTGCAGCAGAAATCTGCAACAAAGCACCAGAATTTTCGGCCAGTGGTGCCCGTGTGCCCATCGCTGAGGAGAGCTACTATCATGCAACGGTGCCGCAGACGGATCATAGGAATTTCGTCAGCCGTCCGACGATCTCGGCTGAAACCGGCACCAAAGCGCGTGGACCTTCGGCCACTGTTGCCCGTGTGCCTGTCGCTGAGGAGAGCTACAATAATGCATCGATGTCGCAGGCGGATCGTAAGAATTTTGTAATCCGTCCGACGACTGCAGCAGAGAACTGCAACAAAGAGCTCGAACCTTCGGCCACTTTTGGCCGTGTGCCCGTCGCTGTGAAGAGGAACCATCATACAACATTGAGGCAGACGGAGGATGATGTGGTAAGCCGTCCGAGTTTTGCATCAGAAAACTGCAACACATTTACTTCAGAACCTTCAGTCAAGCTTACTCCTGTGCCGTTCGCAATAGAGGACTACAACAAAGCAATTGCTCCGCAGATTGAACAGAGGAATGTATATTGTCCGGGGATTTTAGAAAGAGAAGTTGTAGCTCCATTGCCGCTACCATCGATATCAGATGTGAAGTCTGAGAAGGATGCACTCTATTATCGCGATCAAGTTGTCCACGAATCTAGGACAAGAAGCGACGAGATTTTGCAGAATCTAGCCAAACTGAGCGTGGGAGGTGAATAAACGCAGTCTCAGTCGAAATTTAAACAGAATTTTGTTCCATATGTATAAATTGTTGAAGGTTGTCGGTGTTTCGGGTTGAAGACTTAGGTAAGTATGTCTGAGTGCAAATATCGAGCTTCCACTTACTTCACTTTCAGATATGATGTCCATAGACTATAAGATAGATTACCCGCGGATGTAGCAAAGGTAGCCTCTACAATTTAATTCATCTCTTTTAAAACGTCGTTTCAAGATTATTGGCCTCGCTTAGTTCTCAACACCATGCTCTCACGTCCGAGTCAGCGTATCAGTATGATAGAGTTGAAGATCAAGCACTGTTTGGGCATCGTAATCTATCGATCGATCACTCTCCCGATTCGATCGGCCAATCACTCTCCCGATTGACGTCTTCGTAACAAACCCTGATTCCTCGATGTCACAACGAATATCCGACAGAGAAGACACAGTTGAAAATCCATGCTGATAGCATTCGCTAAAGTTCTCCTCATATCTCGGTCGTTGAAGGAACTTATTATTAAATCCAGACGAGCTATCTGTTGGGTATACGCGATACAACAAATCCCGTGGATGTGACAGATGCCATCTCTGCAAGAGCGACGACTAATGCAGAGGGTGCTCCTAATTGTGCATTTATCTCTGTGTTAGTGGGCAAAAGAGACTTCCACTCTCAAAAGGATCTACTTCCGATCTCCTTCACAGCGTCGCTGCACTTGGTCATACAAATATATCAGGCTGAGTCATCGACAGGTGCGCTCTTTCCAGCTTTTAAGCTCAAACACACGCGATGACCGGCTTTAGCTTGACATGAAAGTTTCGTGAGTACGTAGTCAGAATAACTCAAGAAATGGACTCTTGATAGATATGCACCTATTACTAATATATGGAAGCAAAGGGTACATACCTCATTACAGATCAGGCCAATCCAAACCTGCCCTTGGAGGAGGGACCGAGTAAGATAGGGAAAAAGCATGGGAGAGGTTGTCAAATCTCCCCCTGAGTAGATATCCACAAGATTTCATAGCGTATCTTCAAGGTTCACTACAAGTACCCAAGGTCTCCCGTCAGCATACTGAGGACAAGATCTTGCCTCTAGGAATGCAACAGCAGGTGCTAAATTCTTGCTCAATCCTCTTTTCTGAATTATGGTGATTTGTGAAGAAAATACTAAAGAAGGACTAAAAGTTACATTAAGCTTCAACGCTAACCAGGCACAAAAGCGCCTATGGATCAGTACCCCTCGGCTAGAGATGTCGGATTTGAGATGAGACCCGACACTTCAACAGCAGATCTTCAAAGTCGAGCTTTTGTCATAATTTTTAAATTTTTTTTCCCGTTTACAAGTCAAGCTACCTGCTCGTTTAATGTATTGTTCAACAATGTTTGTTTTGCTTTTATGCTATAAAGCTGTAATAGACAGCAAAAATTCTTGAATGAAAATGAATAATTGTGAATACCAAGAGAGAATGTCTTCTAAGTTCAATCTCTCTATGAGAGAATACTTGAAACTCAAAAAATACATTTGTAAGTGAGGTATTCTTCTCATCCCAACAAAACCCTAAATTGATCATTTCTTCGTGATGATTGACATTTTCCATAAACAAGTTTTTGCTATTTTTTTTATCTATTGACGTTGAATCTTGATAATTGCAAATTGCTATAGCCTTCAATCTTCACGCTTAAGTCTATCTAGTCTAGAATTTGCTTCGTTGGATGTGGTTTCTCAAGTGTTTCTACTCTTCTCTACTGCCATTGACGAATAATCTACCCTTGAGTGATATAGTTAATATTTAAATAATCATATTGGATTTATTACATATTTACATCCTCCGCATCTTGTTTGCAATTGCTGAAGTCTTTGAGTACTTGAAGGAAAACACGATACTACGGAAGACGTCGTTGAAGCAGATTAATGAAAGAGGCAGCTTCACAAGTGTAGTAGAATCTTTTGGGTGTTTGTAATGCTCAATATACATGAATCTTTTGGCTGAATATGCAGTAAAACCTCTTCATTGTAGTATTTCATAACCTTGTTGATCACTCTAAGTCAAGTCATATTCTACCAAGAAAAATATCATAAGTGGGATCGATAGTTGTTCAAATTCATCTGTATCATTTATCCTCATTATCGATACGGGGATATCTCATATGAATTTTCGACTTTAAATCTAAATTTAATAAAGTAGCATGAACTTAATTTTTTTAACATTAATTTGCATGAATTTCATATTTTTTACTTGGAATATGTACTGCTTTTTAGATGTATTTCACAATTTTAAAATCATTTGGATATTGAATGAAGAAAAGTCAACGTTTATAATTTTTCATCGACTTTTAAAATCTCCAAAAATAAACATCATTTATCAAATATACTGAAGACGCTTTCATGGATACATAAGGTAACATGAAAGATGCAAATTTCAAAAGACAGAATAATATCATTTTGTTGTTGATCATTAATACATCCTTACCATGTATTTTTTTCCTATTCAGGTTTATAGTATCAAACGTGAGAAATTATGAATATGTTTGTGAACGAATAGTAAGAATGTTTGTAATAAAATATCTATTAATGAATGGTAAGTTCTAATGCTATTTATATTTAAGTGACAGGTTTAAGGTGTATTATCTTTACATACTACAATGATAATATGTTTAAAAGAAATCTTTTAAACTTTATAGATGACTTTCATCGTGACGTATTAATTTGAAATCGAAATGAGTATGAATATATAAATAATACATTTTTTTTCATATGCTGCAAAATTTGGAAAAATATTAAATATCATCCACATCCTTAACAGGGAAATAAAAATTCGACTTTTTACAGAAAGTGTTTTATTTTGTTTAACTCCCAAAATACTTCAATGTGGTTGTGCTTTAGCCTTTAAATAAATAAAACTCATTCTTTTAATGTTGTGGGATTCATAAACTCTAGTCGTGAAATATTAAAGCTTCAACTTTTTTTACTCTTCTCTTCAAGCTCATTTCAAATTCACATGTCCACCATGTCATCATTTAGGTTTTTCTTCAGACCGTATTTACTACCGATGCTCTTTCAGTTTGCGAACGGTTATCGGCTGGAAAGTACCTGCCAACGTGAAAGCAGCTACTGTACACGAGAAGATGACTATAGATTCTAAGATTACCTGTTCAACAATCCATCTTCATGTGATTCGTTTCTCGTGGTGCGGTCACCGACCTTCTGACTAACAGGTGCATGTGTACTAAACAATCACAACAGGTTGGAACCAGCTTTACTTTCACCAGTACGTCGAAACTTTAGGCAACAAAGAAATGAGCAGTGTATAAAGAGTGAAAATTGAGACCAGTTATTGAACTGGTGGCAGAAATCATTAAGTCCACCTCTTATCCGTTTGGCATGATCTCTTCAGGAGCATGCTTCAGCAATATAGCAGTCTGCCCGCCGGTTCCGTATATATGTAACTTTAGATTCCGTAAGCTCTAGCCTCAAATAGTAACATGCTGTTTATTATGACGCTATGATCACGTTAACATGGGCCTTTGATGAGTGTTGGAATTCATGAAATCGTACTGATTTGTTTACTTGCATTTTCTCTTTTAGATGCTTTAGAGTGAAGAAAAATATGACTCGTTGAAGCATTATAGACTATCGACATACAGTACATATTCATACCATACTATGACGTATTAATCCTCGATTCTGCAGAACTGATGCACGAATCCTCCTCTCTGCAGAGTTCTTCATAAGGACTCCACGTCTGCTTCACCGGGTAACCCTCGTCACTAAGGGCTCCTCAAAAATGAGGGAACGCGACCTCTGCCCGCCCGGGCTTTCTGCCCGCAGCCCGACCTCCCCGCCTCCGACCCCATCCCCCCTTCCCCCAGCCCGACTAGGGATGGCCGCCTCCCGATCACTCCACTTTCCCTTTCCCGTCCCTTCGCAAAATGTCTGCGTCCACTGTCCACTGCCAATGCCAGTCACCGAGTCCTTCACGCTAAATTACATTAAATTTTATTAAATAGTTTAGCCTCTTCTGATTCTGTCCCACGTTTGAAGAGAACTGCGAACGACAAATGTATTGCGAGGCATGTCATGTCTTCCATTTCGGAGATTTGGTTGGAAAAATTAGACGCAGGCAGGCGCTGCGTTCAAGCAGTAAATCGGAAAAATCATACTTCTGATTAATCAAAAACGCTGGCAATAACAATCGAGCCCAACAATGATGTTGAGAATTATGTCCTTCGTCTGGCCATGTAAGTTCAGAGAATGAGAGTATTGAGTGTGTTTTTTCCGCCTCAGGTAGCTGCCAACTTAATTATTACGGGCGAGTCTTCTCCAGAATGGATATAATCGTCGATATTTAAGACTTTCGTCAAGACGTTACCTAACTTCATGTGGGGAAAAGAGCACGATTCGGATTATCAGCTTATCAGATTCCTTTTTTGCAGAGGAGGAAATTCTATTTCTTGCAAAAATTGTGACCATGAGATTTTTGTGAAATAAAATTTATGATTTGAGTTTTTTCATTAATCTTGTTATCACTTTATAATTTTGCTTTTGTGAAATCTTTCATAAAATATTTCAAAACCTTCTCTTGTGATTCTCCATCATGTTGATAGATGAATAGATTTACTTAAATATAAAAATTGAAGAGAGATAATTTCCTTAGAAACTAAAGCTTTAGAAAGAAAAAGACCTAGTTGTTTTTTGGGGGAAGAAGAATGGAAGCCCCAAACATGCTACTCCATTTCTCCTCCCCTTTGCGAGGGGAGGAGAATTGGGGCATGGGGCAGGAAAAAACTACGAAGTACAAGTTCCCTGCGGGGAAGGGAGGCCGCGAGAGAAAGAGCCCGATGGGCGAGCTAAAGCGGGAGGGTCTCCACAACTAATAACTAGTAACCGGGAGGTCGGGCTGCGGGGGAGGGTGTCTGGTTGCGGGGGGAGGGGGTCGGGATGTGGGCCCGGGTGAGGAGGGGGGGTCGGGCTGCGGGCAGAAAGCCCGGGCGGGCAGAGGTCGCGTTCCCTCATTTTTGAGGAGCCCTTAGTGACGAGGCCGGGTAACTAACAAGTTTTCTTAGGTACTTTGTGTCTGTTGAAGAACTTCAGGAATTTCTCACGCCTGCGCACTCGCGATTTGTATGCCTAAGACTTTTGTCAGTCGATCCTGGTTTCTGACGTCGACCGGCCAAAGTGAGTCATTTCATTGGAAAAGGAAGGATAAGAAAAGTATTGCCTAACGAGTCGAATCAGCTTTT